GTGGACAGCCTTATCTTATTTCTGATTATAGAGGAATTGCGTTGAGTTTCTCTCCATTTAGTTTGATATTGGCTGTTAGCTTGCGATACATTGCATTTATTATGTTTAGGTATATTCCTGTTACCCCAAATATCAAAGATCTTTATCCTGAAGGGGTGTTGGATTTCAGACAAAGCCTTTGAGGTAGATTCAGTTCTGAATTTGATATTTAATTAATTGTTTAATTAATGTGGGGGGGGCAGAGAGAGTGCTCTTGTATGTACACGTGGAGGTCAGAGGACAACTCGACAACTCTGTGGAGTCAGTTCTCTCCTTCTAACTTTAAAGGGGTTCCAGAAATTACACTCAGATATACGGACTTGCATCATAGGCTGCAAGTTACTAGACTACACACTCCATTTAAAAACTGGGGATATAGCCAGGCGGTGGTGGCACATGCCTTTAATCCCAGCACTGGGGAGGCAGAGGCAGGTGGATCTATGTGAGTTTGAGACCAGGCTGGTCTATAAGAGCTAGTTCCAGGATGGCCTCCAAAGCCACAGAGAAACCCTGTCTCTAAAAACAAAACAAAACAAAACAACCAAAAACCAAAAACCCAAAAACTGGGGAATAGCCCAGTGGTGGTCATAATGCTTTCCTTTAATGTCAGCACTCAGGAGGCAGAGACAGGCAAATATGTGAGTTCAAAGCCAGCTTGCTGTACAGACTGAATTCTAGGACATCTAGAAATGCACATCTAGAAACTCTGTCTCAAAATAACAAAAACCAAAATATAAAAGAGAAAGAAACATTCCCCCTCTGCCCACCTGACCCCTATGGAGGTGAGTGTACCCTCTGCTCCTGCACCACTCCTGCCCAAAGTCCCCTTCACCCCGATCTCTCTGGGCCTGTGTCTTCTTAGAGTGGACCCACCTAGCCAGGGAGGAGCTCCCTGGGTCTGGAAACACCTCACGTTTCCTGCCCCCTCCACCAGCCTGACCCTTACCGAGGCCTGAACCCTACCTAGTAAGGAGATTACCAGGAGAGGCAAGACCATCCAGAGCTGCAGACATTGAAGTCTTGGCCCACACACACCAATGGGCGACAAGAGGAGATAGAGAGACCCCACCTGCACCCACTGGAGGAGGAGATGGAAGAAGACAGAATAAGAACACATTCAACAACAGAAAAACCAATATGACACCACCAGAATCTAGGGACTCTACACCAGCAAGATCTGAAAAGCTCAACAGGGAGGATGAAGTGGAGATGGACTTCAAAAATTATCTTAGGAAGATGATAGAGACCTTTAAAGAGGAAACAAGAAAAATCCCTTAAAGAAATAGAAGAAAAAACAAGCAAAAAATTACATGAAATGGAGGAAAAGACAAACCAAAAAATTCAAAAAATAAACAAATCTCTTACAGAATCTAAAGAAAGCCAAGGTAAAAACAACCAAACAAGTGAAGGAAGCACTTGAAACAGTTCAAGGCAAGAAAGCTGAAATAGAAATAAAGAAAACACAGAATGAGGGGATTCTGGAAATAGAAGGCTAGATAAACAATCAGGAACTAAAGATGTGAGTTTAACCAATAGAATTCAAGAGATGGAAGAGAGAATCTCAGTTGTTGAAGACTCACTAGAGGATATACAGTCATTGATCAAACAAAATCTCAAGTCCAACAATTCCCTAACACAAAATATCCAGGAAATATGGGACACCATGAAAAGGCTGAACCTAAGAATCATCGGTATAGAAGAAGGTGAAGAAATCCAGCTCAAAGGTACAGAAAACATATTCAACAAAATAATAGAAGAAAACTTCCCAACCTACAGAAGAATATGCTGATGAAAGTACAAGAAGCTTACAGAACACCAAATAGACTGGATCACAAAAAGGAGTCCCTTCAACACATAATAATCAAAACACCAAACCTACAAAATAAAGAGAAAATATTAAGAACAGCAAACAAAAGGCCAAATAACATATAAAGGCAGACCTATCAGAATCACTCCTGACTTCTCTATGGAAATTTGAAAGCCAGAAGATCATGGATAGATGTTCTACAAACTCTAAGGGAGCATGGATACCAACCCAGACTACTATACCCAGCAAAGCTTTCAATCACTATAGATGGAGAAAACAAGATATTCCATGACAAAAACAGATTTAAACAATCCACAAATCAGGCACTACAGAAAGTTCTGGAAGGAAAACTCCAACCCAACAAAGATAACTACACTCACAAAAACATAGGCAATAGATAATCCAATTTTACCAAACATGAAAAGAAACAGGAGGATAAAATCCACACACAATAATACCACCAACAATAAATCAAAACAAACAAGAACCAACAATCAATTGACATTAATATCCCTCAATGTCAATGGCCTTAACCTGCCTATAAAAAGATACAGGCTAACAGAATGGATACAAAGACAGGATCCATCCTTCTGTATACAAGAAACACACCTCAACTTCAAAGACAGGTGTAACCTTAGAGTAAAAGGTTGGGAAAAGATTTTCCAATCAAATGGGCTCAAGAAACAAGCTGGTGTAGCAATCCTAATATCTAACAAATTAGACTTTAAACTAAAATCAATCAAAAGAGATGAAGAAGGGCATTTCATATTCATCACAGGAAAAGTCCATCAAGATGAAGTCTCAATCCTGAGCATTTATGCCCCAAATAGGAAGGCACCCACATTTGTAAAAGAAACATTACTAAAGCTCAAACCACACACAAAACCATACACACTTATAGTAGGAGATTTCAACACCCCGCTTTCATCACTAGACAGGACCTCCAGCCAGAACCAAAGAAACAAAGGATCTAACAGAAGTTATGACCCAACTGGTTTTAACAGATATCGATAGAAAATTCCATCCAAACACAAAAGAATATACCTACAATTGTATTGAAGATTCGAGCTAATCTGCTATTGAATGACATGGCCTCAGTGGGGAATGTCCCCTAGTTTGCATCTCTACAGGACTAAGCATTTAAATAGGCCTGCACCTGGGCAGAGGGCTAGGTGAGTGAGTAACATGTGAGGACTCTGAGAGTTAGGAGTGACCAGGCTAAGGGGTAAATGGCAGTAGAGAATAATGGCCTCATGGCTAGGGAAGCATGGTTAGAAAACAGCCAGGAAGATGCCAAATGAAGAAGAGACTCTAGTTTTGCAGCATGGAACTGAGAGCTCTCTAAAGATGACAAGATGCCTGTGTTTGGTCTTTATCGCCATTGGATTGCTAGGATTTTCCAAGTCCATGCTTGGACTTCAGTCACTCAGGCTGAACCTCATGGCTGCCGTGGCTTGGGGCTGAGACATGCTGAGCCAAGACAAAATGGCACCCAATATGGGGCCTGAGAATGGGGTAAGAAGCCATAGACTCCACAAAGAAAGGAACACCAAAGAAGCAATGGTCAAGGCTGGCGTGGACACTTCAAGGAGATAGTCATCGCAGGTGAACCAGTTGGAGAAGAAGCACGCGAAGAAAAAAGAAGAAAGAAGTGGTCGAGTGTGGTGAGTGAACAGCATTAAATCAGGAACAAAATTGTATATAATTGTAGAAATAGGAAACAGATATTTGTAATATAAAATAGAAAAACATCATCCAGCAGCTAACAAAAAAGGTAAATCGGGTTATTTAACCTTTAAAGTAGAAATGTGCACAAAAGTATATATGAGACGAAAATGTCAGCCAGCAGCTGACAAAAAAAGGTAAAGCGGGTTATTTAACCCTTAAAATAATAGAAGGTGAACAAAGTAGATGTGAGACTGAAATGTCAGTCAGATGGTAAAGTAGTAAAATATGATGAGTTAAACTCTGAAATGAAAAATGCAGGTAAATATGAAACAGGAATATTAGCCAGATGGTAAAGAGAAGTAAGTTAACCTTGAAAGCTTCACGTGCGATGGGCTGCTCTCTCAGCCTGGACACATAGGGGAGGGCCTAGGCCTGGCCCAGGATGATGAGGTGGACTTTGGGGAGCCCCTGTCTAGGGCTCTACCTGCCTGGGGAGTGGAGGGTGTATAGATTGAGGGGCAGGTGGGGGTTGGGGGAGGCTTGGGGGAGGGAGAGTGAGAGGGAGAGGGAGAAGGGATTGACATGTGAAGCAAACTTGTTCCTAATTTGAACTAATAAAAATATTAAAAAAGAGAAAGAAACAAATGTGCAGCAGCTGTGCCCACAGGCCAATGTGATGCAGGCAATCCTTCAGCTGAGGCTCTCCCTCCCAAGTGTGTGAAGCTGACAATCAACCATTACAGGAGCTGGAGAGATGGCTCAGCTCTTAAGAGCACTTTAAGCTTTTGCTGAGGACCACAGCAACCACATGATGGGTGTTGACCAATGTCTGCTGGTCCAATGCCATATTGCCTCTGGCTTCTGCGTTTGGCCATCTCTTATGTACCCTCCCACTTAGCACCCCAGCTTCTCCTTTTCCCCACTGTTCACCTCTTTTTCTGGATGAAAACCATGAAGGGGTGAGTTGAATTGGTTGTTTCTATGTTCAAGCTCTGCCTACACTACGAGTGGGACTCTGGACAGTCACTACTACTAGTTAATACCAGTCACTGTGCTTGTGTAGGGGGCTCGAGCTATACTCTCCAGGCCTGTCCTAGGGAGAGACAGGGATCTTTGTGTAATAGTCCTGGCTGTGCAGGAACTGGAGTTTTAGACCAGGGTTATCCTGAAATCAAGATATCTGCCTGCCTCTCCATCTTCCTCTCTATCCTAGAGTTCTGGTATGAAACATGAGCATGGTATGAGCATGGTTGGGCTCATCACTTACTTTTCAAAGTGCTCCCCTAATGGCAGTGTCTTTCCATTAATCTTCACCATCCAGGACTAGATTGAATGATATTCCTGAAGAGCTACATCTATTCTGTAGACAGGGAATACGGTCACCAGAGCCCAGTTCTTTCAATAGATGCTTTATTAGAGGGAACAATGTGTAGTGAACCCAGACTAGAAGGCAGGGATGGTGTAGGCAGTAACTGTGGTGACAAGACTAACAATAACCTCCAACAAGGCCCTTGTTTTCAGAACTCTTGGAGAAGCAGATGGCAGCCTGGCGGTCACAGTTGCAGATGATGTCCTCACAGGCATCATTTTCATCTGCAGAGAAACAAGAAAGGAAGTTGTGTGGAGCCCATTACCCTGCTTTCTATGTTTTGTAACCAAAAGATGCTGGTGGCCCTCCCATTGGTGCAGACACAGGGTTGAGAGACAAAGCACACAAAGGGACATGGGGTTACCCAAATTGCTGGAATGAACTTGTAATAAAACAATTAGTTGTTGTGGGGCTGGGGAGACACCACAGTTGGTAAGGTGGTTGCCATATAAACATGAGGGCCTGACCTAGAATGCCCAGAGCCGGTGTAAAAAGCAAGGTGTGGTTGGGGCATCTGTAACGCTATTGGGAAGTGGAGAGGGCAGATCCCCACATTTGTCTGTTATTCATGCTAGCAAAAGGTGAGTGTCCTGTTTAGTGAGAGACCCAGCCAATAAACATGGCAGAGAGTGACTGGAGAAGACAGGTGCCAACTCATTCCTTAACCACTGAGCCATTTCTCCAGGCCCTGCCAACTTGTTCCTAAACATAAAAATACACATGTATATTTAAACCTAAAACCCAGAAAAAACTAAATATCAACTACCACGTCTAAAGTCATATGCTTTAAGACAATCCTCCTGTCTCCACCTCCCCAGTTTTGGGACTGCAGGTGTGCACCCACCACACTCAATGTATGGGTTCTGGAGGTGGAAACCATTGATCTGTGCACGCTAGACGAGCTCTCTATCAACTGAGCTACTTTCCCAGTTCTCTGACTCTTCACATGTAAAATGGGAATGGTAAATCTTGCCCTGCATAAGTGTTTACTCCAGTGTTTGGCTTATAGCCAATGATGTAGCTTTCAATTGTTTAGTAAATATGGAATCAGTAAACATATTGGTTAATAGGAGAGGCTTTGGGCAGGCAAGATGGCTCAGGGAATAAATGCACTTGCTGCTGAGTCTGAACCTGAGTTCCGTCCCTAAGACTCACAAGGTAGAAGGAGAGAACTGAGTCCTGCACGTTGTCCTCAGAGCTCCACACCTGTGCTATGGCACAGGCATGCCTCCACCAGAATTACATAAAATCTTTAAATGTTTTTAAAACACTTTGGAATGATGTAGAACTGTGTTCCAGAACCAAATGCTATAACTTCCAAGCTGGGTGACCTTGGGCAAGTGGTCCAGCCTTCCTTCTCATCATGGATCTCATTTATATTTTAGTATCTATCTGATAAGGGTGTTGTTATGTCAAATGGGGCCTAGGCAATAACTGCTAAATGGTAACTCTCCTTGTAAAGTCCCTGCTCCTTCCAAATCTACTGAGGGCAAGCAGAATCCAGAGGTCCCGGAGGGTAAACCTACCACTACATGTGACCACAGCTCCAGAACAGGAGTATGAGTAGAAGGTCTTGAACGGGTCACCTAAGTGGAAGGTACAGTTTTTCATGTTACTGGCCTGAGCATAGCAGTTGGCACGAAACCTGCAGCACCTGGAGAGAGGAAGGAACAGCTGAGGGAGGAGCATGGACACACAGGAGCTCAGTTCTCACATGCATCTTTCTCAAACATGTGAGGATGACTTAATCACAATGTTCCAAAAGAAATGGTCCTGAGGCCTGAGAAACTGTGATTTCTGTTAGTACACAGTGATTGAAAGGAACTTCTGTGGAGTGTGGTGGTGTACACCATCAATCCCAGCACATGGGAGGCAGAGGCAGATGGATCTCTGAGTTAGCCATCAGCTAGGGATATATAAGTGAACTTTGTCTCCAAAAAGTGAATTTTTATATCAAAGCTGAAGGAATATAGTGAAATTATATATTCTGAAGTTGTGAAAACTTCTTAAAGCCAAGGCAGACACTTTGATGGAGGCTGTGATGGTTGGCCATACCCTACTCTGTTACCTGAGGCCAGCAATGCCCACTATTTGCACCTCACACATTCTGCCTACAAGGATCACTGGACACAGGGTCCTCTTGGACTGATTTCTTTACATGACAAAATGGGAAAATACATTCTGGGTGGTGATGCACACCTTTAACCTCAGCTGGAAGACCTTCAAGTTCTAATCCTGCAGGGTCTCTAGAGAGAGTTCCAGAACAGCTAGGGGTACATAGATAACCCCTGCCTGGAAACACAGAAACAAACAACAATAATAAATGAGACAAAATAGGATGTCTGCTGAATATGCATGTCTCCTGTCCTGTCCCCACCCCAACCCAGACACTGCAGTCTCCCACCAGATGGATCACTCACTTGTCTAAGTCTTCCATCCGGTCGTTCCAGGTATCAAAGAAACAGTACCAGCAATAGTAGTTGTATCTCATGAAGCGTTGAATCCAAGGGATGGTGCACTGGAACACATTGCCGATCTGCCACACAGCCCGAGGGCTGACGCTGTGTGCAGTTGTGCCTGCTGCAAGAATGTACCACACATTCCATCAATCCCACTTGACTTTACCAGGGGTCTGATGCCTGCCTGCTAGCTTCCTCCTTGATTTCCACCAGTGGCTGCATGGGAAGAGCAGTGAATAAAGGTGTGTGTGTGTGTGTGCGCGTGCTTGCGTGCGCGCACGCACGTGCATGTGCACACATGCGGACATGTGTTTGCTCGATTGCCTACACACATGTTCACAAGCACATATTTAGGAGCACTCATAAATGTCATGCTACATGAGATCAGAGTTCAGCTATAAGGAATTTGTTTTGTCTCTCCACTATATAGGTCTTGGAGACTAAACTCAAGTCACCAGGTCTGAACAGGTTAGTATCTACCTATTTGAGACAGAGAGTTGCCTTGTAACTCAGGCTAGCTCCAACTCTGTAGCAACCCTCTGGTGTCAGCCTCCCAAGTAGGTAGGAGTAAAAATGACTACTGTACCTGGCTGGCTGCCACTCTGAGATTAAGTTCTCTAGACATTGCCTTTTGCCTTGCTTGCCTTCTCATTTCTCACTGTCAGGACAGACAGCTCCCACACTGTGAGATGCCCTGTGGTCTCAGTATTGAGGAACTGAAAACACTCTCCAGTTAGCAGGTAGGGATGAACTGACCTCTTAGTTCAGTAACCCAAGAATCCAACCATCTTTTAACTTTGAAAGCTGCCCTGGTGTGGAATAATCCTCTTTTAGAACTGTAAATATTTGTCATTCAAATTGGCCTAATAAAATACTGATTGGCCAGGAGCCAGGCAGGAAGTATAGGTGGGGTAACCAAACTAAGGATGATGGGAAGGAGAAGGGTGAAGTCAGGAGTCACCAGCCAGATGCAGAAGATGAACATGTCAGGCTAATAAAGCTGCCCCTACATGCCTGAGCATGAATAAGACATATCAGTTAACTTAAAATGTAAGAACTAGTAAGTAATAAGCCTGAGCTATTGGACAAGCATTTATAATCCATATAAGCCTATTTATGTTTATTTGGGATTGGCCAGTGGGACAGGAACTTCTGACTACATATGGTGTTCCAATGTACAGTTGAAATTTTCACATAAAACTTGACAAAGCTTAAAACAGTATTCTAGACACACAAAAATGAAGTGAATCAGGGCTTCTTGGTAGCTGCTTTATCTCGGGTGAGCTCTGTTTCCTGGCAGTGAGCAGAAGCACTGCTCCTTTAAGAGATGGCATACTGACTTAATGTTAGTGGCAAAACCTGGTGGCTCTTTTAAGAGGTCCTGCTGCCAAACACTCATATGGAGTTTGTGAGCAAGTAGTGGGTGACAAACTACTTGCTGATGGTGTGGATCCAAAAACATCCCATAGTTAGTATGGTAAACAAAGATCCCCAAAATGGTGGTAAATGTACTTTCACTATAAGACTAACCTCTCAAAGAACCAAGGAATGAGTCGGTGCCAGCCGCCCAAGCTTTCACTTTGGTCATAGCCATCCTGCTTAGTAGTTTCAAGACTCATGTGATCAGAAAAAGATAGAGATATGTAATAAAGATAGATGGTAGGAAAAGTCTTAAAAAGGACTAGAGTAATAAAAATACAATAAGCCTTGTAAAGATGGAAAATAAACAGAGAGTCTGGATATTGTATGCAATTGTTTTGTCTTTAAATTATTTGATACTTATGAACAAATGATAACTGTTGAGAGACATTTGATTATGAAAGCTGCTAGATTAAACCAACCTATGTAGTTTAAAAATATTTTGACTTCAAAATTTAAGTCAAAAGATATGTTACTTTGGGAAACAGTTCTTCTTTCATCTCCACAGGAATTGAAAGGCTCTGTGTTCATTCTGGGTTAAGAAAAATCAGATTAGATTGAAGAAGAAGCCCTAAAAATCTCCAATGGGAAAGGATAGATAGATGATCTAACATTTTAGAGTGCCTCTGTTGCAGTTTCCTCTGAGTTCTGCACCCAGAGGATGCAGATACATTTTAGACAGACAGTTCACCTTCAAACACTTCAGAGATCTACAGAATATGGTATTTAAGATGTTTTAATAACGTAAGTGTTTTTAATGACAATGAGACACATCTGCTCCTGGCAACACCAATCTACTTTAGAGAAGATGATGGGATCGATGAAATTCAATGTAGAGTTTACTTCTTTGTGAGAAAAGTTAGCCAGTGGGCAAGAAACTGCCCTTACCTTACTGCTGACAATATGCTGTCCAAATTGCACAAGGAAAACACAAAAGAAAGTGACTGCTAAACTTTGCCAAAGTAAAGCAGGACAGTCCTTCAAAGGACCTACAGTCCTGCTTCTTGGTGGATCTCTGTGAATTCAAGTCCAGCCTGGTCTACAAGAGCTAGTTCCAGGACAACCTCCAAAGCTGCAGGGAAACCCTGTCTCAAAAATCCAAAAAAATTCTGCTTCTCAGAAGGATATGTGTCATATATGCCAGGCCTGTAGGTCAAAGTTGGATGTCCCAATTTTGCAGAAGAACTTTAGGTCACTGTCCAGTCAGCTTGAGGTCTCTGTCATTAGGTAACATTTCACCCTTTTGAGGTCTTTGATGAATTTGAAGTCTATAGATTTATAGTTACAGTTTTCTTTAGTTATTTGAAAAGATAAATTAGGTCCAAAACTTTGGACTTACAAAGATAAAACAGATAATAGAGTATTTTCTCTAATTTTGCCAAATACAAATATACTAATATTGTTACTGCAATTCTTACTTAATAACTCTTTTGTTATATATAATCTTCCACTGTTAAGGTTAAAACCTTCCATTTTAATAAGACAAAGGGCTAAAATGCTGTAGAATAATCCGCTTGTACACTGTAAAGATTTGTCAATAGAATTGGTTTAATAAAACATTTATTTGAAAGTAGCCAGGTAGGAAGTATAGGTGGGGTGAACAAATGAAGGATGACAGGAATGAGAAAGGCTGAGTTAGGAGTTGCCAGGCAGTTGCAGAGAGAGCAGTAGATGAATGTGCCATGCTAATAAAGGAACCACAATATGGAAGAGCTTAAATAAGGAATATGGGTTAACATAAGTGTAAGAGCTAGTTAGTAATAAGCCTGAGCTATGGGCTGAACATGTATAAGTCATATAAGCCTCTGTGTGTTTATGTGGGACCAGGAGGTTAGTACAGGGAACTTCTGAATATACTGACCAACACCTACCCAAGCCTAGGTGAAACCTAACCTTATCCAACAGTGGGATTCATCACAGTTCCAACCGAGACCTTGAGGCAGAGAAACAGCCAACACATGCTTATTGTTTACACTAGAGAATTAGAAGGAATCTATTGTATGGCCACACAGAGATAATATACAAGGATAATGATCAGATCATCATGTGTAATGTCAGCATTTGTCATAACACACTGTTCATCAGCTGAAGAGTAGGTGAATAAGCCAGGATTCAGTCTTCAGTGGGATATATGGTCACCATTAAAATAAAGGAGAATCCAGGTACAGTGGAATACAGTGTGTGATCTGAGTACTCTGGAGGCAGAGGCATGAGTATCAGAAATTGAAGGTTGCCAGGCGATAGTGTTATTGGCTTTAATACCAGCACTCTGGAGGAAGAGGCAGGTGGATATCTGAGATAAAACCCATCCTGGTCTATAGAGAGAGTCCTAGGACAGCCATGGCTAAACAGAAAAACCCTGTCTCAAGAAAAGAAAGGGAAAAACAAATTGCAGAAGTAAGACAGGCATGTATGTAATCATAACACTTGGATGGTAGAGGCAGGAAGGTTTCAAGTCTGGGCAATAATGTTGAGTTGGAGGAAATCCAGAGCCACATAATAAGGTCATGTAAAAATAACAATAATGATGGCTGGAGAGATGGCTGAGCTTGTGTAGGACCCAGGCTTGGTTCCAGCACCCACACGGCAGTGCACAGTGGTCTCTGACCCCAGTTCTGTAGGACCAGACCCCTCTTCTGTCCTCTGTAGGCATTGCTCACACACAGTTTACAGACAGAGACACAGGCAAAACACTTATACACATAAAATAAAAGTCAATATTTTTAAAAGGATAAGAAAAATCCAATTACTAAGGCAAATTAGGAGTTTTGTGAGTGAAATGGGACTCACAACAATAGGGCAAGGGTGAAATGGCCTCCTTGCTTGTGTAGGGTTTTCTGAGGAGTCCTCTCAGTTCATGCTAGAGGCTCAAGTTACCAGCTGTTGAGGACATGGGGATAAGGAGGGAACCCAATCCAGAGGCTATTACACCTCAGAGGGAACCACAAACCAGAACCTCAGGTGTGAGAGGCAGAGGCAGTGCAGGTGGGGGGTGGGCTGTGCACTGAAGACAAGGGAAAGAGTTGGGGACGAGAGTCCTACCTGTGAGCAGAGCGACCAGCAGAAGGAGTTTCATCTTCAATAGGAGAGGACTCAAGTGACTTTTCTCTTTATAGTCCTGTAGCTGTGCTCTGACAGTGTCCAGTCAGCACACGGGGCCTGTGGCTACTGGAGACAAGCAGAATGTGTCCACCCTCATAGACAGTACAGACAGGTAGATGGTGGCAGCGCTTGGATCAGTGCTGTTACAGAGACAAAGAGAAAGAGCTGGCTCAACACCCCATAGCAACTCAAGTGCAGTGACTTACAAAATGCCAAGTCCCTCCCTCATGGAGGCTTTGAGGTCATAAGATACAGACATTGCTGCTGGGGTTGGGTTTGAGGGATGCTGCTGATATTGACATGTGGTCCCAGGCAGGATTAGCTGGCCCCAACAATCCTCCATGTTAACTGTATAAACAAAGTGCTAAGTCTGCCCCAAGGCCTGACACAGACTTTGAGGTAGATTCAATTCCAAATTTGATTTTTAATTAATTAGTGTGTGGGGGAAGAGAGAAATAGTAAGAGAGAGAGAGAGAGAGAGAGAGAGAGAGAGAGAGAGAGAAAAGGAGCACATGTGGAGGTCAGAGGACAACTCTATGGAGTCAGGTCTCTCCTTCTACCTTTAAATGGGTTCCAGGAATCAAACTCAGGTCTACCAGCTTTCATTGTAGGCTGCATCTTACTAGCCTACAAACTCCATAAAAACTGGAAATGAATCAGGATGGTGGTGGTTAAGAATGACTTTTATATCAACACTCAGGAGACAGAGGCAAATCTGAGTTCCAGGACAGCCAGAGACACAACGGAACCCTGTCTCCAAAAACAAAAAACCAAAAAAAAAAAAAAAAAAAAAAAAAAAAAAAAAAA